TAGGGTTTATCCAACTATTTTGATCTTTAAAACAATAAGCCATAAAAAAACATAAAAACCTTACAAACAAAAAGCCCATAATCAGGTTTTCGGTAACGTATCAATAAGCTAGACCCATGCTTCGAGTTGTTTCATGCCATAAATAATTGATAATAACCCAAATCAAAAAATCAAAAATAAATGATGGATGTGTGATTTGAACCCACGATCTTGCATGCTTAATTAGACACCTTATACCACTTGGCTAAAGTGTATTTCATTGTTTGTAATCATCTTACCAAGACTATAAGTTTTTAAAAAATACCTATGGGACCTACAAAATTGCTGACGTGTCGCGTTGTGGAGCCTAGAAAGTGTACTATTATAATATAGATTAATATTCATTAAATATTTTTATAAAATAATACTCCCTCCGTTTCAATTTAATTCTCATTCTAGAGTTTTGCACACAGATTAAGAAAATAATTAATTTTACATACTTTCAAAATAAAAATACAATTACCTATACACCTAACCACTTTTCAACCAATGAAAAAATAGAATAACATTTAAAATCAATAAATTTTGTTTTGAAATTATAAAACAACACTTATTTTGAAACGAAAATTTTACTCTAGAATGACATATAATTTGAAATGGAAGGAGTATAATTTTATAGTTTTAAATTAAATTTTTGATTTGATTAGTATATCAATAAATTAATATCTCTATAAATAAATAAAATAAAATTTTGATGTAATTCCAATATTATTAATTTATAGACGATAAATAAGTGAAAAAGTATATAACTGGAAATTAACGTGGTGATTGAATCACTCGGATCTCGTGTAGGGTCTCACCGAGACAAAATCTAATTGAATAAAAGAGAAAAAAATAACAAACGTATGATAGTTGTCACCGAGACAAAATCTAATGAGCTGAATAAGATGAAAATGCACGCGATTTGGTCTTTCGTCTAATGACTTTTTTTGGTCTAATGACTTGACACACCAATTTGTTTGGTGCATACCAACTTATCATACGATACAACATAGACCATTACACCTGTCTCTCTCTCTACTGAACACAATACCAAAAATTTAAAGACTTACTCTCTCTATCTCAAAGAAGACTAGAGTTTTGATCCGCGCTAAACGCGGGATAGATTTCATTTGTTATATATGTTTTGAAGTCTTTTGATAAACACTTTGATAGCTTAAAAATGATGGAGAAAGACTTGGAAAAAATTTCGGGTGAAAAGGGAAAGAATTTAGGAGACCCATTTGAAAAGGAAGTTGTAGATTATCAACAATCATTGATCCATTGACCAAAACGATCAATCCACATCAGGAACTCCGGTTTACTCGACCATGAGCATATATTCATCTGTTTATTCTCCAACTTGTTCAGAGAGTTCTTCAGGCTTCGATGACCAAATAGATTAAGCCAACAGCTTCCCAGTGAAGCTTCCCCTTCTGATTATCATGTCCTCTCTGGTTTAGAAATGAAAACAAATGTAAATCTTGAATCTTAAGAAACTTCGGTGTTATCTTCTCTCTCTCTCTCTTATTCTTTGTGCACTTCTCTTTTTGGAAAAAAAATCAGAGATTCATAAAAGGTCTTCTAAGTTCGTGTGGAACTTGAGACAATGAAGGATGGGTTTTAGCCCTCAACTTGGAGAAGATATGTTAGGAAGTGGTAAAGGAGATTTCACTGCATTGACCATCTCAAACACTATGACTAATATTCTTTATGGTAAAGACTCAATTAGTCACACTTCCCATGTTCTTGTTTCAGACAACTGTAAACTATTCTTCATCTACTCTCAGCTACAATGTTTGAACAGAATCTGAGATTAAAGCCGGTAGAAACAGAGAAGAGAGCATTGTAGAAAAGTAAAATGAACTGTTTTATATCATTATGTGCTTACATATTCGAAATCATACCTACATTTCACAATCTAAGCATGGAACTGCTGTTGAGTTGATGGAGAGTAGACCAAGAACAGATATCAATTAAATTCCGACTCTTTAGTTTAACTGAACTGATTCAAAGTGTCAAAACCACGTTTACAAACTCAAAGAAAATGAGAATTGGAGAGTGAAGTGGGTTATTTCCAAACCATATGCTTTCTTTTGCAGTTTTACAGAGTCGAAAAATGTCCATTGCTATGGAAATGCAAGTACATAAGGTTTAAGGTAGATTGCTCTTCCTGATTCATACAACTTAGAAATCCTGTGTTTAACATGTTTACCAAAAAAAAACTTAGAAACTCTACTGACAGTGCAACATAAAAAACCGGATCAAGTCATAGATTAATCAATGACCCACTAACCAACCATTGCCATCAAAATCAGGTCGAAACCACAAATCAAATCCTCATCTCCCTGAAAAAACATTTAACACTACCTTCCTGGACTTCTTTTGCAGCGGTTCACTCGCCGAAGACCTGAGAAAATCTCCACACTAAAGACGGAGATGGATCAGCCCCATCACCATCGTTTGTATTTCCTTTGTTGTAGATAACCCAGATATAAATCCAAGCTTGCAGAAAAACAGAAATCTGAGTTTTCAAATCTTAATCACCGAGTCAAATATTGCATCATCACCATAACTAAGTATCTTCACTCCCTTCCACTGCTGTAATAAAGGTCTAAACACACCTTAGACCAAACATAAGTATAATAACCAATATCCAGAGGAAGTAGAATTTGAAAAGGCTATACCTTTTGGAGGGTGAACATCTTTAGGAGAAAGAGAATGTTTGTGACTCTTTAACAGCTCTGCACTTACAATTTGGCATATGGCAGTGGAGATGCTGGTGCTTCGAGAGAAGAAGAAGAAGAAGATCATGTGTTCCTAAATAGAACATTATGTCAGAAGATATGCATGTTTCATAGATGACTGCACAAGCTTATTGAACTCTATCTATACACCTCAACTGTTGATTGTCCCACGGTTATTCAATCACCATAGTTTTGCAATCTCTTTAAATAACATAGAAAGACTCGGTATTAAACATAATAAAGCAAACAAAAGGTAACAAAACTATCACGACAAAGAGAAGACACTTCAATATATATCAAATCATCAGCAACTAAACATATAAAAAAATCTACGCCAACTTCATCATATTAACGAATGTAAGAGGAGATTCTAAAATAGATTCAATAACCTTAGGATTGAAAACTACATCAACAATGGATTTAGGTTAACTATTGTTCATGATCCAAGATAAAGAGACGACCATCGATATGTTCGAATCACATTAAAAAGGAAGAAGACGATGATAATAACAGAAGAAACCCAGAGAGAGAGAGAGAGAGAGAGAGACATGGATAAGAGAAGAGACTTGAGAGTTTAGTTCGAAAAGGATGCTCCACTGGAGATGTATAGAACGCCGGCGTTCAAGTTATTAGGTTTTTCTGATTTCTGTTACAAAATATTAGAATCGAATGACTGACTATATGAGTTAATGATACAATTTATTTCAGGCATATTATTTCGATTGATACAAATACAATATATTAAGATTTAGTCACAACATGTTCAATAAATCCAAATTAAAAACATGCCATGGTTAAATTCAAATAGAACTCTGTTTTAATAGATTAGATAAGTTTTATGAAAAAAAATCATTATTAATATATTTTATTTTGTAATTTACTATTTCAGCATAACTTTTAACAAACAGAACTTAATAAACACAATAATCTTTAAGAAAATTTAATTTATTATTAAAATCTAATGAAAAAATAAAATATGTAATTACCAAAATAATTTTTTTTCTAAAATGTAGATGTTTTTGAAATGACGGGAGTATAAGAACATCTCCAACGGAGGTTCTATGCATTGGAGTTCTAAAAAGTACATATGTGTGTAAATATGTACAATATATGTGTATGTAGATGTGGAGCCCATAGAACCGATATCCAAAAGTTCTAAAAATATATTTTTTCTAAAATGTAGATATTTTTAAAATGGCGGGAGTATAAGAGCACCTACAACGGAGGTTGTATCCTTTGAAATTCTAAAAAATACATATGTGTGTAAGTATGTATCATATATAGCACATACATACTTTTAAAAATTCTAATAAACAGAACCTCCATTAGAAGTGCTCTAACTTATATATTTTGTTTCATAGCTAAATTTTGTACGGTAAAACAATTTGTACAAAAATAATCTAACTGTCGCCAATACAATTGCGATGAATTATATTTTCATTTCCATTTTTTTAGCACCATATTGTATCATCTTTATTGCAGTGAAATAGCCATATTTTCTTTGTGGCCAATACTATTACGAAAACTATTATAGTATGGCAGGTTTTTTGAGAAATATACTATACTAGGGCCGGTCCGCGCTACGCGCGGAATTGAATGACGCGGTAGATGATATGAATAGTTTTATTTTTTTAATAAAATATGTAACAAATTTATAAGATTTTGTTAAGTTGGATTTCAATATGATAGTGTTATCTACATGAATTTTAATTATATAACTATGAAGACTGGATTTTTAGTGTTGGTGTTATATAAGATTCCAAGAAATTTATTAATAATGTAGGAAATATGAAAAAAAAACTGTAATTTATGTGTGATATATATGCCTATATTATTATATATTAATTGTCTGTGGTTTATGTTAGGTTTTGCAAGAGAAAGTGAATTTAAAAACATCTCCCATAAACAAACCAGATTTTGTAGGTGTTGTCCAAGTGGTATATAGTAATAGTCAATAAATTAATATATTTTGTGTTTCTTTTATCAGTAATATGTTTGTTGTGAATTTTTCTAGATACGAATTTTTCTTTGTCCATAAACTGTTATAAATTTAAATGGCAAAGAAGTAACCATCATTAAAAGGAAAATTATCAACTATGTATCCAGTGGAAGTCTAAAATGGAAAGCAGTAAAACAAAGACTTAAAGTATGGAAAACATAAAGTGGAAAATAGCAAGACGCATGCTTTAAAAAGGCAAACACGATGCTTTGGTATGTTCTAAGGGACATATCTTCTTAATCTAAGGACATAGGCTTGCCCTTTGCAACTTCTGAAGCTGTCTCAGCGGTGTTGATCGGAACATCACCAATAAATGCAGGCTCCGAAATGAATCCCCTATCAACACTGCTCCAACCAGACTCGGGCTGGGGAAGTATTGCGGTATAAACTGCAATGATGGTAGTAGCATCGGAAGTACCTTTTCCCTGATAAGAATGAAAGTTATGAACAGACAACAAACAAAAGGTTTCAGTTGTGTCAAATAATGGAAGAAACTAATTTCAGTAGACTTACATTGGCGCCGGGGTCCAAAGACGGCAGACGTTCATGCTCGCCAAGTATGCGTGTGATAGTGAAGACCTGACGGTTTGCTGTGAATTTTTTTGTAGACAGCCTAACATTGAAAGCGTAGATTTTTCCTTTCATGCCTCTTATAACCAGAGGCATTGGAGAGTCCTCGGGGTTCACACCACTGTATACCTAAGAAAGCCAAAGTTATAGTGGTAGTAAAGGGTAGAGGGTGATCGTAATAACAGTTACAACCAAAACTCACCAACAGCTGACCAGCCTCATGTGCTTCAAGCTTATGCATCTTGGTCATGACACCGTCAAAACAGACAAAAACACCTTCAGCAGTCATATCAGCGACCAAAAGCTCTACTCGATAGCTGTAATTAAAATCATATCTCATTGTAATAGTATTAATGATAAATTATGAAAAGGAATAAGATAACTACATGGAGTAGCCTGTTTCATACAGTAAAACACCAGCAGCGTTAGTATTCTCACATCGCACACATGTAAAACCAGAATTATTGCGCTGGAGTTCCCTGCTACATTTAGAGCAAGCAACGTAGGACCACCCTTTCTCAGAGTTGATCCGAGTAACTCTCCCAATGCACAGAATCTCAAATTCCTATTTTTAAAATACGATAAACATAGTCAGACCACAGATAGCTAAAAGGAGAACAACATGGTAGCTAATTTACCTCAGAGGGATGGATGATGGCAAAGCTATTGGCCTGAGCTATTGTCAATTGCTCGACTTCTGGAATCTCTCTTAATAACGGCTATGTTGATGGTAGACCAGTATTTCTAGCGGCCAATCTACATAAACACATGTAATTGGTTCACATTTCTATGTAGTGAGTTTGAATTTGGGAAAACATATCCAACTAACCGAGTTAGCCGGTCCTGCCCAGCGCTGGTTATTCCGTCAAAGTAAACTTGTGTCCCTGGAGTGGCATTGACGAACAAACGCCCTACACAGAAGCAGGTTGTTCATCAGTAAATATTTCAAACACCAGCAAACTTGGAAACTTTAAATCAATAAAATTGCACTACCTCCAACAATTCTCGGGTGGGTTTACGTTTGTGGCAACAACCACCATTGGAGGAACAATCATGGATTCAAGCTTTCTGTGGAAGGAGATTGCTCCAGGGTCGAATAGACTGAGTATAACAGTTTCTCCGCTGAAATTAACGTGTAGTTAGCCATACCGAATTAACATAGGTATCTCCAAATAAAAAGTTATATAAAAAGTTGTAAGGAGGAAGAGAAACCTGTCCATCTTTATTGTCGCCATGACGTGGTTTTTGCCTTTCAGAGGCTCTTTAACGGTACTCCTCACACCAGTTATCTCAGCGATAATGTCTGCAAGAAGTTTATATTAATAGATAATGGGAATATTCTTTGCAAGCCTAACAAATACGGTTACCTGGGAGCCGACGGTTTGTGTAAGCAAGTCGAAGCAACCCAGCTGCATCACAGAAATGGAAAGCTTCTTCAGTGAATGAATAGATCGGATTGGTCAACTCTTCCAAACACGTTGACTCATTGAAACGAATGACCAAAAAGGAGTCAGTAAGCATGAACTTTTGAGCACACGGAGCGACGTCAAACTCAGAAAGGGAATACATCAACCCAACGGAGAGCATAGGCCGGAAGGATGGAAGACGTTCAGCATTGATTTTCGCGGGCATGATGGTCCCCTGTAACACAGCAAGCATATATCAGAAATATATACATAAGTTGTCCAAAATCTATTAGCATATGCGTTTCCTTGTAAATATAAAATTATAGTTGGGACGATTTCCGAGTAAATATAACAAAACAATAAATAAATAATGCATTTGCATACACTTCAAAACCATAATGAAGTTGAGCTTTCTGCATTTATTTAAAACCATTTCAATAAACACACATATATATATAGATGCCTACATATAGAGCTATCCTCAGTGAAACAGTCACCAATTAGACCCACATCAGAATCAGACGTGCAAGCGTATATAAGAATCAATTCATACATCTGAGGACTAATATAGAACCAGTCACAAATCTTTAATTAACAATCCCTTTCTAGTCAGACAGAATCATAACATTAAGATGGAACACTTGATTCAAATTAGTTGGGCACCTCATATAGAATGAAAACAGAATCAGAGCAATAAACGAATCCCAAAAACTGATGAACAATAGTTAATGATTTTTTTCTTTATTCTAAAGACGGATTCAAGGCTTTCGCACATTTAAACAAATAAGAACCCTAGAAACTACTTCACGTCAAAGCAACACTACACATCCGAGTTCCTTATTCCAATCAACCCTACTTCCTTATTCCAATCAACATAAAACGTGATTCATAAGCACCAACTGCATATTATTATTTTGAATGTTATTTTCATATCTTCTTGATAGCTATAAGAATATGAATTCTTTTACAGCCATGTCTCTTGCTGCTAGAGTCATTGTACCATCTAAGACTTCTTGATAGAACGTAATTTATTTTGATTATATGATCCAGTTGTCATGTCCCGATCAATGGTTTTATGAATCAAGCTAAACCTAAATCATCTCAAATCGGTAGCAACATTACAACTCAGGGTTACCTAATCCAATTAATTATCAAATCGGAGATGACAATAACAGTCATAAAACCTACTAACTTAGAAAAACAGAGATTTTCTGGACTAAAATATCTAACATAGAAAAACAGAATCATAACATGAATTCAGATTCACAGAGATTAATCCGCCCTACGTGGACATTCCAGCATGGCGCTGATGTGGAGGCCTTCAGAGGAGAGGTTGCTCTTCTTTATATAACAGATTATGGCAGTTGCAATTATCCATAAGACTATGTATAATGGGAAGGTTGAATAAAAAATTCAAAACAATGTGGGTATTAGAAAATGAAATTTGATAATGTGAATTAAACTGTGTTGGAGATCAACTAGTTTAATAAAACAAAAGTGGAGACTACTGACGACATATGTTGTTTTTAAAGATTTTTGGACATTTTATTATTTATTTTTTAAAAGAAATTATTTTATTATAAATTAAATAATTTATTTTATTTGTGATATGAAAATCTATCTTTTTAAATTCTATATCAATGTATACTAAGTTTATATAATTTGGATATTTAAAAAATAATCATTAATTTGTAAAATATGGTGTTAAATTTTATTAAATAAAACCATTGTGTTGTGTAAAAGTTAAATATATGTTGAATGATGAGATGGAAAAAAAAGAGAAGATGATGTAAAATGTAAAAAGATAAAGTGGAGGGTGTTGAATCTTGATACCATTGTACATAGTCTAATATAATTCATCGTACTAATCCTGAAACAATATATTAACATAAATGTAAAGATCAAGATTTATGGTCGATAAAAGATATTGAAATGTTAGAGATGAGTATTCCACATTTGGAATTTAATAGAATCTTAAGTAATATATAATGTATCAGGTCAATTCAATTATTATTAAATAGTTTTAAATTGAAAAGCATACAATAAATTCAGATCTAACATAGTATTAGAGTTTATATGCTAAAACTATAAGTCTCTTATTAATTAATTAATTAATTAACCTCTCCAGTCGGATGTATATGTCATATTTAATCTTCCGATTAAGTATAATTGATGTATTTGACTTGTTCGAACGAGTATAAATATGTTAAAATTCTGAGATTTTTGACCGTTAAAAGTCTTCATCTCGAGGAAGGGTATTAGAGATAAAGTATCCCACATCGAAAATTCAATGGAAACTTAAATAATATATAAAGGTTAGAGTCAATCTACTTATCACCAAATGGTTTTAAGTTGGAAGCTCGTAATAAATCTGAATTTATTATGGTATCGGAGCGGGTCTACACTTTGATCCATTAATCCGGTGTAGTTATTCTATTAGCTGATGATACATAGAAAGCTCAGTTCTGCCGAAATTGCTAGAAAAAAAAAACATTTCTCTGAAAGAGATATGATGAATTATCGAGATTAATAGTTATATCACCATTATTTTGAAGAATGATATTAGAGATAAATATCTGACATAGAAAAAAGAAATAAAAGACATAAATAATATATAAGGAATTTTGACCAATACATTAATTATCAATTGGTTCGAAGTTGAAACTCTAGGAAACTTATCACATTCGTATCATATATGTCGGAAACACAAATCATTCTCATACAATAATACTGTTTTATCGATCTAACTATCACCACTAAAACTTTTTGTAAATATATACATACGTTTGAGTTGGAAGAAATCCTTTTTCTTCAATAGAATTTGCCTGCAAACTTCTTTTCCATGCAGTAACCTGACCATGAGCTTAAGTTGTAATGAATTATTTTAGTTATACTCCGCATGGTCTTAAAGTGACGCTCTAATTGTCTGAAACATCCATCCAGTAAACCCTCTAGAATAAGCTGATAGATTTCGACTGGCCACCTTCAATTAATACAGCTCCCTGAAAATTTGATTAAGACACATATATCTCACTTTGTAGGTCGGCCACTTTTAGTTCAAATTCCTTTAATATGTGAAGTTGAATGATTATTTTATGAGTATGTATTTCTCCCTTTTAGCATTGTTCATACCTACTCTTCAGTTACGTATCTTTATTTTCAGAATAACGCATCTTTGCAAAAAAAAAAAAAAACGAATATAGTAGTTGATTTTAACCAGTAACAAAAAAAAAAGATTTTAACCAAAACTAACAATTTTAGGATTAACGAATATCATTTTTCATTATGATGTGTGTATATATATATTGTAAATGGGAAAATTGTCATTTAAATCACCAACTTTCAAATTTGGTTGAAATAAAACACCAACTTTCTCATAAGCCAAATAAACATTCAACTTTTGTTGACAAGCCATTTTAGTCACAAACTTTTGTCGACCATACCAACTTAGTCATATCGTCAGTCAACAATTATAGTTGACTAACAGTATGCCTAAAATGTCTTTTAAAGTTGGTGTTTTTTATGGCACAAATATAAATCAACAGTTTTTCAAAATATTGGCTTTTAAATATTGAAACTTTTAATAACTATAACACTGATAAATAAAATTGTAAATAAAAAATAAATTCCATTCAAAAATATAAACAGAACTCAATGTAAAATTATTAATTAACATATCCTTAATTGAGTATTTTAGTTAAAAATGATTATGATTTTTTAGTTAATTACGATTAATTTTTAAAAACTATTTTTATAATCCTACACGATCATGTTTTATAATTTTACTGTCAAAAACTTGCTAGTAAAATATTATTTGAATTCTTGATTTTTTAAACAAAATGAGTTATCGGATAACAAAAAAAATTATCTATTTTAGTGAAACTTACTTTTTTTTTTTTAAATCCAGAAAACCTCTTGTAAAATTTTTATAGAAATATATAGATTTGTTTGAAGATCTTTATTATATACTTAAAGAATCATGAATCATTTGTTAATCGATAACTTTTTTCATTTAAAAAACAATAGTTGAATTAATATTTCATCAACAAACTTTTGAAAATAAAATTATAAAACATAATTCAAGATTATATATTATTTACAAAAATTAATTGTAAATAATTAAATATTCTTATCGTTTTATAACCAAGATACTCAATTAATGTATGTTAACTAATTATTTTACATTGAGTTCTATTTATATTTTTATTGGATCTTTTATTTATAATTTTATTTATTAGTGCTTCAGTTATAAAAATATTTTCAATATTTAAAATATATCCAATATTGTAAAAAAAAAATATTGATTTATATTTGTGCCAAAAAAACATCAATTTTGAAAGCCATTTTAGGCCTACTGTTAGTCAACTATAACTGTTGACTAACTATATGCCTAAATTGGTATGGTCGAAGAAAGTTTGTGATTAAAATGGCTTGTCAACAAAAGCTGAATGTTTTTTTTAGCTTATGAGAAAGTTGGTGCTTTATTTCAACCAAATTAGAAAATTGGTGATTTAAATGACAATTTTCCCTATTATAAATGTTACTAAAAGTGATATAATGTTACTGGCGGATCTAAAAAGTATTATTAGGCGGGCAAAATTTCAGACATTAAAAAAGAGAGCATTTAATCCTATGTTTCAGATTTTATAGGGGGCAAAGTTAACCAGTTTGTCTACCCCATCAAACAAAATCAAATTTCATAAAATGCATAGGGGATAGCCCCACCCTTCTTGGCTGAACCATTAGTTTTTTTACATCCTCGCCTCCTTATATAAACATGTCACTGTCGAAGAACTGCCGGTCATGTCGGAGGACTGATTATTTTCAGAGCGAAAAAGGAATATTTTACTCGTCACGTTCTCCATTTCAGCACCCAAGTTGTTGAAAAGACGATATAAAAGAATACCGTTAGTTTTGGTCCTATAATGGAATCTGTGTGCTATTCACAATACGTCTCTTTATAGAATCAATCAACACATATTTGAATATATTTTGTACCGATATTTTTTTATTTGACGGCTCTATTTTGGTTTATATGACTCCTCATATTTATCTAGTGTATGCATTGGATACGAAAGCACAGCTTATATATTGAAACTTCTGAAAATTCTCCTTTTAAATTTTTCTTTCTTAAAAAAAACGAACCGACGAACATCCCTAAATAATACTCCCGCTCTACTTATATATATGACGTTTTAGAATTTTTCGGGTAGATTTTGTTCAAAAAAAAAAAAAAAAAAAGAATTTTTCACGTAGATTTAGGCAGTTGATATAGTATCTTTTTTATTCCTTTCGTCATTGTTTTAATGCTAAGAATTTTTTATTGACCCAAATGCATAAGAGCACCCACAACGGTGATCCTTAACATGAAATTTTTAGGGAAAAAATAATTCAATAATCAATAGATCCCACAAAAAGTTAAAGAATCATCCTTAAAAATCTCTAAATAAGAACTGTTTTTAGTGAATTCTTGCACTATTTGCGGGTTCCCACGATACATGTCGATCCACGATTAGTTAATATTTATTTTTCATTTTAACACCGTTGCGGGTACTCTAATAAAAATGTAAGGATAAGTAAATCATTTACCATTAGATTTTGCTTTGGTTTCTGGAAACGTCAACTATTTCAAAACAAAAATCAAGTAGTAAAACGTCATGTAAAACAAAATGGAGAGAGTATAATTTAATTTCAGTAATAAAACATCCATCTAAAATCAAGTGATATTTGTACCAAACAGAACTATGATATTTCGTTTTGGGTTGAGGTTTGCTAACTAGCATGTTTAGCTCAAAAACATATAAGATTGAATTTTACTAAAACAGAGCAAGAAACATTTATCGCTGCAGAGTCTGCACTCGTAGGCTAGTGTGTGGACTCAACATTTTAAAACCCACCACTAAGATGAACACAATTACTTGCTATTCGACTGATACTCATTTTTGGATCTATATTTATGTCATAACATCGAGTATTTGTTTTGATCAAATTGAATATCAAATCAAAAATTTCAATTACTTATAAGTATAAAACAAGTAGAAAATAATAAAATAAAATAACTATTAGTATTGTTAGTTTATTACTCCTCGTCTGTTCCTGTTTCTATTTTTGAACAAAATAAATCTCTAAATTATAATTAAAGAGTTCATTATATGATAAACAAATTAAACAAAAATGACATGTTTAATTTTTTTTTGTTCAGTATTGGAATAAAAAAATTTCGCATTTTCTTTTAATGTTATCCCACATCAAAGTAAAACATACGAGAAACACTTGTTAAAAAAAAGAATTGTCTAATTTAGAATTCTAACTAACTAAGTTTTTCCCCAAACTCAGGTACAAAATTTAAATTGCTGATATAAATAAATAATTATCAATAACTCATAAATAATTATTAATTAATTTATAAGTAGTTTACAAGTAACAAGTAGTAAGAAAAGATAAGTAACTTGCAAATGTGCCATAGTACAGTAAGTATTTATAATTGCATGTACAAGTCAAAATTACTATTACTGGAATAAATCAAAACAAATATCAAATATTTCAAAAAACCTTTTATTTATACACCATTTCTCGATATATACATAATATTTATCATATATAAGTTGCAAAAGGTGAGGAACACATAATAGGTTTTCAAAAATTAAAACGAGATTGTAAGTTTATAACCCATGTGTTTCTTAAATATATAGACAAAAAAATATAAGACATCTCAAAGAACACTCCAGGAAAAAGATTTGGTTGCAAATAACTTAACTATAGCATAGAAACTATAGAACTAAGCAAAGTAAAGGGCCTTTTCAACAACTAATTAAGTTGACATTGTTTTGATAATTCAACATTTAATCCATGATATATTTTAGGAAATTGGGTAAGCCATACCTATCCTAGCATCTTTACTTTGATATAAAAATATAGTAAATCATTAAAATGCAATAATTAGTGAATGATTTTGATTTGCTAGCTTTTCGTGATATAAAGTAAGTACCATAACTTTATCCTTGAAAATATTATAACCAATAATATATAATATTATGAGATTCTTTGAATCCTATAATTGAATAGCACAAAATTTCAAAGTTTGATTATACGTAGTAACCTTTGAAAATATTAATTTTTCTTTCTCAAAAAAAAAATATTAATTTTTAATATCTACTTGGTTGTAGCTTATACTTCCCCACCTGATATTTCTTTTTTTTGTAACTGAATCCCACCTGATATTTCCGGTTTAAATTTAAAGTAAATTCTACAAGATTAGCTTTAGATTATACTTTCACTTCCGGTTTAACTCACTAACCTCGAGTATGGTAATTAATTAAATTGTCTAATCACAGAAACATCGCCAATCATATTCAATTTGTTTGGTAACACAAATGATATTTAACGCCTATGGCTTATATGGTACGTGACCCAAAATATACAACATGTAAACAAAGTAACAGTCAAAGTAACAAAAACGGAAAAAGGATAATATCATCAGTTTGTAACAAAGTAAAAAAAAAAAACACCGCAAAAATTATTATGCTTCTGATACTGATTCGTTGTTCCTCGCAAAAACTAAACGACGGTGCCTTCGTAGATCGTTGAAAGTTTGAGTCTAAAGGATCTAACCGCCAACTTTGCTCGTTTAGAAGTCAATCTCCTCAAACTACGTACCGAACCGGAACGGTTATAACCGCTCGAAGCCTTAAACGGCGCCGTTTTATTCACTAACGGTCCCCCCTTCCGAACAACCGTCGTCTCGCTCGCTTTTCCGTTACCAACGGCAACGTTATCGTCAGGCTGAGTCAGCATCATGATCGGAGAGATTCTCACCTTCTTACGGCGGCGAGACTCTTTCCCGGAGGAGTTTTGTATCGCCACGCTTGCTTTCACGGCGAGAGCCGCCATGTCCGACGCCGTTAACCGGTTCCGCCGCTTGGAGATCGGAAGGACGAAGTAGATCTGCTCGGCCTGAAGGGGATCTTCGGAGTTTATCGCCGGTATGATGTCGTCGTAGTAGAGAGAATCCGAGTCGCAGATGAAGTAAGAGGAAGGTCTAGAGGAAGAAGAGGAAGATGAAGCAGCTGCCGATTCTGCTTCCAGGACTTGAGAGGCGATCACTGGAATATTGTATTCCCGGAGATCGCCGTTAACGGTCACGATCTTCACCGTCGGGGGAGAATTGGAGTCTCTTCGGTTAAACGAGATACAGATTCCCATTGCAGTTTGATGAGAGGAAAACTTGAAGAAGAAGTTTGAAATCGATAGAACAGAGTTGGTCATAGTCTGGTTTATATATATAGAAGAAGGAAGACGAAGACGGAAGGAGAGTTATCTAAACCGGGTTTATAGATACGGGAGTTATTAAACCGGTTACGGTTCATCTATCTCGAACCAGTAGCTGACACGCAGGTAGCTTTGTCAGTTATCTGTCTGGAGATTCTTGTCATGCATGGTAGAAGGACATTTAATATCAAACAAATAATAAAATGAGAATAATAATTTCATTTAGTCTATCCACATCACTAAATTTAACCAAATAATGAAGATATTTTAATATCACATGTCCTTTAGAGTCACATTTTAAATTATTAAAATTTGATTTGTTAACCTTGAATAACTATATTTTCTCAGGTGGTACTTTTACTTTGGTTGACATTCCTTAACTTGGGTTCAAACCTATCTGGCAACATATTTTACATTTTTTTATTTAAAAATTTAAGGCACATTTAGTTTTAGTCCATGTTTAAAATCATTATGGATTCATCACTGATGTCACTTAAACTTCTGTCGACCGGATCTTAAACGGATCATTCCTTTGGGCTCATTATTTTCATCACTAACCCATCTAAAATTCACATCGTCAACTCTGGCCTTCTTTGACGTTAACGATGGTGATGAACGACTTCGACACTTCCACTCTCTGCTAATCACTCTTTCTTCTCTGAAATAATCATGAATCAGTCTCAATCTTATTTCTGTTCTTAAATCTTTTTTGATGATTTTGTTTCACCTCCCATCGTTCCTCTTCCTAATTCAGTTCAAATAAATAAATTTTTAATATGCCTAATCCATAAAGCTTATGATTCTCCTCATCCTCTTCCATCTTCGTCTTCTCCACTATCTCTCATTCGATGATATTTTCTTTACCAATCTGCAACATTATCATTCTCGCAGTAGGATTCTGTCGACTGACGTACGTGGCTAACCAGCATCTCGGACGAAACTATCTACGGCCGTTCCAGTTATTTTTAAAAAGGTTAGGACATTCATATATTAAAATTACAAATTCTCTTCTACACTTTCATCTCCATGGAGCTCTGACTGGTTACATGTCTGCAATCTAGAGATTGGTTTTAGATTTTTCATTTTCATAACACTTGTATTGTCTTCTCTTTGTTTGTTCATCCGGAAACAACCAATGATTAAGGGAGTGAGAAGAAGGAACATACCATCATGGTAAAACTTTTGATTTTATTCTGAATTTTCTAAACTAATAATAATGTGACTAAATCTCTGCTTTTTGTTTCAACCAGAGCAGATGGTTTTCTTGGACTCTAGAACCAAAAAGTTCAAAACTTGGTAGCTGAGTATTGGAAGTTTCTGTAGGCCATTCCGATGACTAAGACAAGAATATTCTGTGAGGTTCTCTCTATTGTATCTTTTCTCTTTCTGTTGTTAATTGTTATCGCAAAAGGTTTTGTTTCACATCACTTCATGTGTTAATTGACTATTTCAATTTAGAACTCTTCTTCATATGTAATGCATAATCTTTATAACAGTGTAAATATCACCATCTGCAGAGACAACAATTTTAAATGTATCATGTGGGACAAAGGTACGGAAGTTAAACAGAAGTGGAAGTACCCATTCCTTACTCTTGGTGAAAACCATGTATCAAAAAAGAGTTCGATGTAAATCAGTTTCGTCACATTTTCCAAAGCTAACATTTTTGTTACTTTTTATTATTTTGAGATTTCATTGTGGTTTTCTGTAAGAAAAAGGTATACTGCTTAGTTGTTTGTTTAATTTACCACACCTTCATACTGCTATGTCTCATGTTTGTTTAAAGTTATAGAGTTTGAGTTTTTTTTTTGAATAACAGCTTGTGTTTAATATGACTATTAGTGTTTGTTTTAAAATAAAACAACCAACCGTATTTCTTTTAAACTCGAATTCATTTTTGTTTTCAGATTGCAGATCGTATTGTTTTTAAGTTACATTTCATTTTTCTGTTTATTTTTGTTGGCAATTTTTTTTGTTTTTAAATTAAGTTTGTGTTTATTTCCAAATTACTGATCGTCTTTTTAAAAAACAATTGCAACCATGTTTCCTCTGCTTATTAGTGTTAGTGTTGAAATTACAGGTCGTGTTTGCTTTTAAATTGCAAGTCATGTTTTGTCTTCATATTAGTGTTTCTGTGTTTATCTTTAAACTAAATATTAGGTCGTCTTTGTTTAACATTTATTTTATGTGCTTATTTCGAATATCTGATTGTCTTTGCTTTTAGATAAGATGTTGTGTTATTTTTATATGTTAGCGTATGTTTCTAAATGGAATATCTTGACATGTGTATTTTAAAATTTCAGATACCGAATAGAAATATCTATCTAGAACAATTAATTCAAACAAGATATATGTAGTAAGTAAATAAATAATACAATATAACTATATGATGTGAAATTTTTAGGCTAAACACATAAGTAATTTTGTAATGCATGGAGAAGATAAGACACTAAACACAAAACAATTAAATTTATAATATTTACTAATATAGCTAATCAAAAACATAACAACCTGCTCAAATGAAAAATAAAATTTCTAAACTCAAAATTGTTTGATAGAACAAAATTTACTCACCTAACCATGCATTTATTAACAAAATAGAGATATTTGATAAGGAAAATATTATCTACGAACTTTAAACATGAACGATTGTGTTGTGTTTTTTACATCAATTCAATGACTTTTTTGTCAAATAACAATTAAAACTTTCTCATATTTAAACCGATTATAAAAACAAAACAAAATAAACTTTATAAAAGATAATCCGCGCGTAGCGCAGACAAAAACCCTAGTTTTTCTCATCGTAGTAATTACAGTGTGCTTCTCAAGTCATAATTAAGCTAATTGACTTTCTTTCTTTTCATGGCCTAATTACTCTCGATTATTTCTTTCTCTTGTTGAGTTAGAGAAACTCCATTGGAGAGTACTTGACACAAAGCACTCATAAAAGTGAAAAAAAATTAAATAAAAAAACACAAATTAATGCAATACCGCTCACAAAAGATCATATTAAAGACCGCTCCTAAACTTTAGCCTCGACATGTTATTTTTTGCTTGCATCTTATTCCACATGTCCCTATCTAAATAATTCAACGGTTTTATTTAAATTTAAATTTATTTATTAAAGTTAACTATTATTATTTTGTTTTTAAAGACCTCATTTCAAGGAACTAACCGATGGTGTTAGTCTTATTCAGTTTCTATATATACTGAATACTAGGTGATTTTCTCGTGCTCATGCACAGGCTTAAATATTTAAGAAATAAATATATTATAATAGTTGATTGATATTTACTTTAAATTTTATATTAATTTATAGTTTGTATGTATAATTTGTATTAATAATATTATATATTTTAGTTATTATAATTTTATATATATTATATTTAGTCAGTATTATCATTTGGATATATATATATATATATATATTGGATTCTTTCTATTCTATGAATTCAACTATAATATTTTTTATTCTAAATATCTTAAATTTTTGATTAATTATTTTACTTACATTTATGTTGGTTGTTATCTACGAAATATAAGTATATCTTAGTAAGATAATGTATTTTAAGATTTTTTGTGCTTAGAACGAAAAAAATAAAAACTAAAGTGTCTGATTCTAAATTACATAAGTAATAATAAATTTTTGAAAGCTTATGAACACATATCAATATTTACAATAATTAAAATATTTTATAAACTCTAAATAATTTATGCCATAGATTGATTGGATGATAACCTGAAATTTTTTTTAAATAATTTTAGAAATAAGGAATTCTGATTTGCTTTATGTATTAGATTATGGTTATATTAAATTCCACAAACATAAAAACAAAAAATTAAACATCAAAAGAGTTATTAAGAAAACAGATAATTTTAACTATTAATTATAATATATCTACCTTGTTAAATTATAGTGTTATGATATATTAAAAGAATTGTAGTTATTTGATCAAAAGATCTTTATTATTAAATTTATTTTTAGTTTTGTTTTTAACATCTATTAAAATATGTAGTAAAAATGTGATTTTTTTTGAGAAATTATATTATATAAGTAAAATATAATTTATATTTTTTTGCTGTAATTGTAAGATATTATAATCAAATAAATATACTAAAAAATATTTCAATAATACTAATTATAATTTTTTGCCAATTAAACATATATCAGTTTATGTTACTTAATTATTTTATGTAATAATCTAATAAAATAGATAGATATATCAAAAAATAATTAATTTGAAAATATATATTTTATTGTTTAAATTATTTTTAAAGAAAAATATTTCAATATCAAGATTATTTGTATGAACTTTTTTAATGAAAACACATTATATACAAATATTTTTTTCATCTAATAAGATATAGATATAAAGTATTTTATTACTTAAAAGTATAATTTATGTTATTTAAAAATATATTTAAGTTAAATATTACTATTTTGTAAACTTTCTTTTTTATGAAACCATATTATATATATACTTATTTTTCGTTTTAAATAGTTTTGTAAATTTTATAAATATTTCCTTTTTATTTTATATTGTTATTTAGAAGATTTTAAAATGGAAATAATAATATTTTAATATATTTTTAATTCATTAGGGGTATCATAGTAATCAACCAGCGTGAGAGTTAACGTGAGCGCGACACCTAAGAGAGTGACTTCTCAAATAATATTATAGAGATTTACTTCATACAACATCATTTTAACATCTATAAAACGCGTAATTATTGTCTAACTATTATTTGAACATCAATTTGCCTAATATTCATAAGGATATCCATAATGAAGAATATAACCATAGGAAGTTTGATTTGATAATTACTCACACTTGTGGACGATTTTGTCCTTTCACTCGCTTACGGAGAGGAATGGGGATATGCTTTGTGGAGCAGAGTGAATCATCAAAACCATAACACTAATGTTAGAAGAAGAATGGGGATATGACACAAAGTGGACTATACT